CGGTGTTACTTACCACCGATGCCCTTCCATCTCTTTGGCCTTTATCACCAACCACTATTCGCACAGATGAGGGGAATATGTGGGCTCAGACCATCATCTAGTTCAAGGAACTTCTAAAGTCAAACTACTAAACAAAGACGACTTAGTTGGGCCTCCGTAAGAACTGGTATGGAATAATGCTCTTGTACACAAAAAGTGAAAATAATTATTCGGATCATCCTGCAGAGAATAAAAACTGCGCTGGATGTAGAACTCCCCCTTCACCCCAGAACAAGCTGGATTCAGGAAAGGCAAATCACGTGCTGATCAAATTGCAACTCTGAGCATCGTCATCATCGAACAAAGCGTAGAATGGCAGTCACACCACAATTTCATCAACTCTGATGAGGTCTTTGGCAGCATTGACAGAGAAGTAATTGTGAACATACTTCAACACTACGGCTTGCAGTGCCAGAACCGTTACAAACCTCATTCAGAGGCTGGTTATATGACATTGCCACGTACCAGGCGATCCACAACAGAAAACTCAGCGAGGCGTTTGAAGTGAATACAAGAGTAAGACAAACTGACTGCGTACTATCACCGATGATATTCCTAACTGTGATGGACTGGATTATGCATCAGATTGTGGGGACCAGGAAACAGGAGTACACCAGACCGCTGATCAGGAGACTCTAGAAGATCTGGATTTCGCGAGTGGATGATTTATGTCTAATGTCACACAAACTCGAGGATTTACAGGCGAAAATCAACAAACTGGCTGAAGAAGCAGAAAAGACAGGATTCCAGGTGAACCTAAAGAAGACGAAGATGATGAAGATAAACAGCCAACAGCAACAACAACCAGCAATAATCACCATCAATGCGAGAGATTTAACAGAGGCTGCCTCCTTCACTTATCTAGGAAGCATTCTTTCAACTACAGGTGGAACGGATGAAGACGTCAAAGCCAGCTAGAATAGGAAAGTCAAGACACGCCTTCATCAAGCTTAAACCAGTTTGGAAATCCTCTGCACCCATTCATCATTAAGTACAAGATTCGGATTTTCGACACGTGAAGTTGGTCAGTCACTTCTTCCATATGGGTCAGAAACTTGCACTGAGCGTCATGGAAAACATTTCCAGCACTTTACGGACCTTTATCAACAGCTGCTTGGCTCCATACTGAAGATCAAATGACCAGAAAGAATTAGCGACAAGAAACTGTGAGGCAAACCAACCAAGAACCGGTTGTTCAACAAATATGCCGAAGAAGATGGATTGAGCATACGCTGAGGAGACGGTTGGCTGACATCGCGGGAAACGACGAGTAGGTCCTCCGAGGGTGACATGGAGGAGATGAGAGATTATGGGCAATCGTGGGCCCAGCTACAGAAAATAGAACAGAGTACAGATATTTTGTTGAAGCCCGATGTTCCATTCGGAACCCAAGGGAACAATAACAAAATACTGTTCACAGTCGTTACAAAAACTTGCATTTGAACAGGTTTGGCATGCTAGGATTCTACCGGGATCAGTCTGGCGTCTATTAGTTCAGATAAAACAACAGAAATTAAATGGTATTTACTAACCATTGATTTCAGGCAATCCATAACCTTAATCACTGTTCACTAGATGTTATTCCGGGTTTCCTCAGAATGACTTTTGTTGTCAATCTCAGATACGCATTAAGCTATTAGTCCCCTAAATAAAAACTTCGTGATTTCATTAAGTTGGGGTCGCAGCCACCTGTTATCTATATCCGTTAAGTTCTAATTAAACATGTGGACGTACTGGTGCGTGATTGGGACCTACGAGGGTATTCTAGGTGTACCGGTGTTCTGTTAGGTTAGACAACGTATCTCATTGTCTTTGAAGATAGTCCTGACAGTTTACAGAATATCAACTAGGAAGAATTGTAAACGACAACCACTGTTGTCAACATGGGATTCCACACGCGTCAGCAAAATACTTTTTTCATTAGCACATCGTCCCTACTTGAGCACTGAAGTCACCTGCTAGAATGACTATATCCATGTGTTACGCTTTCATTAGTAAACTAGGGTTTTCGGTAGAACTCATCCTTCAATTTTTGAGAACTGCAGTCGGTTGGGCCGTAAGTGGAGAATATGAAAAGACGTCGACCAGTAACGCACCCCTTTCTTCTAGCGAATCTGTTCAGCAGGACAACACATATATGAGAATCCTGTGGGATCTGGTTAGAGGACGATTTCTCCGCCCTAGCATTCAATGATATTTCTATGCTACCAATGCCACGCAAATTAATTGAAGTCCATAAGGTAGACTTTTTAGACTCACAGCACTGGCCAGATTATGTTAGGCGAATAACCACATTTATGTCTTGTATGTACGTCTCCGAAACACAACATACATCCATGTCTCGAGATGCCAGATTTCTAGCTAGTGAGGCCTGTTGTCCGACTTGGAAGAAGGTCCCGAAATTAAAAGCTCTAATATGAAATTACCCGCTTAGTTTCAAGAAATCACCAGTAGTGTATTTCCTGCTCTAATAACTATTCATAGTCTCAGAGTTCAGAGCAAATGGAGGAATAACCTACTGAATAGTGTTAACAGTGTAAGGTACACAAAAAGATGGAGGTGGATAATGATCGGGAAAGCTTTATGTACTTAGAGAAGTATGTGGGTGGTTACTACATCCCGGCTGCCAACACCGTGGAAGCTGATAATCTTTTTGAAATACTTGAAACATAAGCAGCCCTACTGTTGCGTGACCGCAGAGACCAAGGGACAACTGCTTGAGGCCAGTCATACACGGTATGTTTGAACTGGCTTTTAGAGTTGTGCCCGCATGTAGGTAGATCTTAACGCCGATTACAGATCGCCACAACGTACGATTATCGGGATCGACCTTTTTCTAAGACCCCAATTCTCAAGGGTGGAGACTTGTTTACTGGTGGTCATTCGAAAGAAACACCTTACTGCCGTTACATCCCCAATCGCCCTCAGACCCTCGAACATAGTGTGAGCAATGAACACTATGATGACAATATAGCAAAAATATTCCTTCAGACATCTATAAAACACAAAATAATCAAGCAAAGAATATTCTTTTCGATAAATTCCTCTTCCGGCTCTACAATTTTATATATATATATATATATATATATATATATACATATATATATATGTATTTATGTACACAGAATATTCTAGATTAGTAGTTAATAACAATATTAGTGTTTTTTTTAAATAATATCGATTTTTAAAGTATGATCAATGTAATTGCAGATGCTTAAATTATAATAGTAATAATAATAAAGATATAATGGCGAATAGAATATCAACTAAAATTAGGGAAATTCCACAGAAATTCAGGATTATTCAAACCTGGGTGGCCAAGGTAATGATAATGTCTGCACTAACTTCTTTTGGATGCATAAATTAGTCTTGTTAATGTGGATCCCCACAGCCTCAGCAATATTTAGTAGTCGAACTTTTAAGGCGAAATTGAGATTCGTAGGTATGCGGTAAATGACCCTGAAAGCATGGTTAGCGTAAATCTTGAGTTCCGTCTCCACAAGATGAGACAGAATATCGCTGCGAATAGATTTTGTTTGTCCTTTACTTAACCACGCAGGGTGATGTTGTTTTTTTTTTGGTTACAGCTTGATTCCACACCGTATTTTTGGTACAAGTGTGGAATTTTCAGCGTGGATATCGGTAGACCAAATTTCGACGAGAAAAAAACCTAACTGTACGGCCTATGTGACTGGCTCCACAGGAGCAGTTAAATTGGTAGATACACATGGAAGAGGCGAAATTAAGCAGTTTGTCTTTTATTCCCGAACGCAGAAGAGTGGTTTTAAAGATACAGCGTAATTCAGCAGCAGGGAATGCTCTTTTTACCATATTTCTAAGGCGCTGTGTTAGTATCTCGCTGGTGTTGTCTCCAAGGAACTGCATCCGCTAGAATAACGCCTTTTTTGGAACTGTTGGTAACTTGGGCTGCTTCGGTTTCAGATTCAGATTCTTATCAATAAGCTTTTCAGGATAACCATTTTCACTTAGCAACCATTTAATATTGTTAGCTTCCTCGTCAAGACATTCGTCTAAGCAAATCTCTCTTGCTCTGTGGATCAAGCACTTTATTAGATTGCGTTTGTACTTCAAGGGCACAAAGCTGAGGAAATGTGTGTACTGGCCCGTTGATGTAGGTTTCCTATAAACACTTCTTATTGTGCCGTCCTCTTTTCTGGTCATAAGGAAGTCTAAAAATGAAATACTAAAGTCTTTTTCTTTCTCAATAGTAAAATTTATTGCAGGTTGTACTTCATTAAATTTATTCAGGATGTTCTTTGCTTTCTTCCTGTTTTTCATGATCAAAAAAGTATCATCCATGTACCGACAATAAAATTCGAGTTCAATAATAACATCCTTCAAAGGCTCATTTTCCAGTTTCGCAAGGAAAATGTCAGCTAGAATGGGTCCTAGTGGTGATAACTGGTTTTATTCTATAGCCATCCAGACAAGCTTTCTCGTACGGTGGGACTTGCAGCCAATGTAGTTAGTTGAGTTACTACGATATGCGAGCCCAACCATCGTGTAAACACAGCAGCTATCAGTCAGACCATAAATACACAAGAATAATTTAACAGACTTCAATCAGGCTATTACCTTGAAAATAATACAACAAAATAACTATTGTTGGCGTAGATACAAATCTATGAAATATGTGATTCTCACAAAAAAACTTCAATAGCATAGTAAGTCTAAGTTTCCAAATCAGCTGACATTCACACAAAATATGACGCAAAGGCACTAATTTATATTAAAAAAACTATATTCGACGTTTTAATGAATTAAAAAAGTGTGAGATCAAATTTGAGTTTTGTATGTGACAGTTAGACGATAAAATGATCTATGCAGGATGACGTAGTATATATGGCAATGAATGGCATTTTATGGTCTCAGTAGCATACGAACAGCCAGAATGAATCGTAGGTAGTACATGAATAAATTATATGTTTATGTAGCCGTCATTACGCCAAAGATGGATTGCTCGTGATCGACAGACCACAATACATGTGCTGTGCAAGCTGAGAAGCTATAACATAAAGTCGAAAGCAACAGATTTAATATCACATAAAATATAAACAGTAAAAAGGTGATTATTTGTTTACAAATGACAGTTTACATTCGATTACTAGCTTTTTTTAATGACTACACTTAAAGACTGTGTAACCTTATAGTGTCAATAACGACTCAGAAAATACCAATTCATGTATACATTCCCCTGTCAAAAATCTACTATTTGGACTCATAATAAAATTAAAATATCTACCCACTTTTGTCTACGAATATTTAATCTATACAGGATTTTGTTGAGAAATGCATCATTCCAATGCTGAACGGTGTAGTCACGTAAGATGTATTTGAAGTAAGGTGAACTGACGAAATTTAGCTCGTCAAAAATGACAATTTGATTTGAAAAGAAACATTTTGGCGAAGTAAGGGAATAATCAAAGATTCCTAACACCACCACTAAACATTTCGTTAATCTTCTATTCAGTCAAAAGCAGGCAAAGCTCAGAAAATCTTTATAACGAAACAGCTGCCCACTACTTCTGAATTACAATGGTTTTCTCCTGTCTTCCAATAAACCACTTTCAACCCACATATTTACAAAACACTCATACATACTTGAGATAGTGTATACTGAATCTTAATGATACAGTTTCACACTAGCGTCCAGAAATTTAGTAAGTGTTTCCTATAGGGTTTGAAATCAACTATTCAGTGGATATTTCCTTGAAGTTGCAAATACACCGGATGGAAAACCTGACTTGCGCGTGTGTTTATGGCTTATTAGTTGCCTTCAAAAATTCGACCAAATATTAAACCTTTTGTCATCAACTACATGCATAATGCATCATCTCGATATTCAACTCCACACTATCATGTCTAGAGAACATCAAACAGCAATAAAACGTTCCACAAGCAATGACGATATGCCATATTACAACCGGATAAAGCTTTAAGCGTCGCAGTAATGAACAAGAGTGGCTGTATCAAGACAATAGAATCCATTGCTAAAAACGCATCGAAATTCAAGATTGATGGCCACAGGAAACACTGATAGGTTCTATATGTTACGAAGGTGACTGAGTCTTAGAACGATGAGTGATGCTTGAATCTTGAAAAGACGAATGAACCAAGAATTTAGGCTTTATTCATTTTACAATGAAGCCGGAATGGCTTAAACATATAAAGGAAAAAAAGAGTGTTAATAGCGGTAGAGATATGAATATGACTAGATACGTATTATAAGAAAAGTTCACAACATTCACTGCGGCTTGAAAAGGAATGAGCCATTATGTCACGCTTCTCTGGTACGCAAATTGTAAGGCCGTACACGTTGTTGTTTTTCCAAAAGAATACGCCCGTTGTTCGTTTCAGTTGTATTTTCTTCACGAAGAATATTAGGATCAGTGGTCGCATCCCCATTTACTTGTTGCTCAGGAATTGCGTCGCCCTCCGGTATTGAATTTTCAACTTGATCTATATCTTCGCCTTTGGGTGCCAGATGATGAAGAGCAACTGTATCTTCACGTCCATTACCGAAGCGAACGTGAGCGAATTGCGGGTTACAATTCAATAGCTCCACCTCTTCAACCAGGGGATCGAATTTGGACTGACGAACACTCCGCCGGAGAAGTACTGGTCCTGGTACAGTGAGCCAAGTAGGAAGAGTTGTCCCAGATGTCGATCTTCGGTTATAGGTAAACAGTCGTTCGTGTGGCGTGGCGTTCGTTGCAGTACAGAGCAAAGATCTGATGGAATGCAAGGCGTCGAGTAGAACAGACTCCCATTGTGCCGTTGGTAGGCCCCGTGATCTTAATGCTAGAGTGATGGCACGCCAAAGTGTTCCATTGAGGCGCTCGACCTGCCCATTGGCTTGAGGATTGTATGAGGTAGTACGACTGGTTGCTACGCCTTTCTCCAGAAGAAATGCCCGTAATTCGGTAGACATGAAAGCAGCGCCTCTGTCGGTATGTATGTAAGAAGGCATACCGAAAATCGAAAACAGTTGGCAAAGGCAATTCATTACCGTTTGAGACGACATGTCGGGGCAGGCGAATGCAAAGGGGAATCGAGAATATTCATCGATCAGCGTGAGCAGATAGTGATTGCGGCTAGCTGACGGTAGAGGTCCTTTAAAGTCGATGCTTAACCTTTCAAAAGGTTGGGTTGCTTTTATGAGTTTGAAATTAGAGGGATTGTAAAATTGAGGCTTTAACTCACAGCATGTCACGCATTTACTGGTTACATTGCGCACCTCGTCAAGGGAGAATGGAAGGTTTCTCGAGCGTACAAAATGCATCATTCGGACAACTCCAGGATGGCACATAGAGTCATGGAGAAATTTCAAGTCGCACACTGACTGCAAGGAACCGCAGAAACTACGGGAAAATGTATCAGCAGCTTGATTATCCCTTCCAGGACGATAAATGATGTCATATTGATAAGGGGATAGCTCAATTCTCCAACGCATTATTTTATCGTTCTTGATTTTGCCTTTATGAATCTTGTCAAACATGAATGCTACTGAACGTTGATCAGTGACAAGTTTGAAGTGATTTCCGAGAAGGTAATGCTTCCACTTACGAATTGCTTCAACCACGGCATAGGCTTCTTTCTCAACCGATGAATGATGTTTCTCACTTCGAGAGAGGCTTCGAGAAAAGAAGGCGACAGGTTTACCATTCTGGTTTAATGTAGCTGCAATTGAGACATCTGAAGCATCTGTTTCAACAACAAGGGGTGCTTTCGGATCAACTACCACAACGACTGCACGTTCTAAGTCGTCTTTCAGTTTGTCAAAAGCATTTCGAGTTTCGATATCAAGAGGGAAAATCCGATTATTTACCAATGGGTGGATTTTATCTGAGAAGCGAGGGATCCACTGTGAATAATAAGCAAATAATCCAACGGCCCGTTGTTGAGATTTGATATCTGTGGGTGGTTCTAGATCACGAAGAGGTTTTAGCCGATCGGGATCTGGTTTAATAACCCCTTTGAAACTTCATAACCGAGTAATTGTATGCTTCTGCTTGAGATCACACTTTTGGAATCATTAAGGGTTATTCCATAATTGCGTGCTGCTACCATAAACTTGTTTAGATTTTTGTCGTGTTCCTCCTGAGTTTTGCCGCAGATAGTGACATTGTCAATGTAGGCAAACGTGCTTGTGAGTTGTTCTTTACTGATCAATTCATCGATAATGCGTTGAAAACAAGCTACGCCATTGGTAACACCAAAAGGAATTCGGCAAAATTGGTAAAGTTTCCCACAAGCCTCGAAAGCAGTATATGGTTTATCTTCGTTCCTTAGGGCAATTTGATGATAAGCATTCTTCAGATCAAGAGTGCTGAATATGTCATATTGTGCGATTTTTTCTATCATTTCGTCAATCCTAGGTAATGGGTAAGCATCCAGAAAAGTGAATCGATTGATTGTCTGACTATAATCAACTACCATCCTCTTTTTATGGCGTTCGTTTGACGTAACAAGAACTTGAGTTCTTGCAGTAACCGGTTGACTTCGGTGGAAATAAAACTTTCATCTTCACGAGAATAACGCCGGGATTTTATCGCGATCGGTTTACAGTCTTTTGAAAGATTTTCAAACAGAGTAGGCAGGTCGACGCGAACACAAGGTAGACCACAGAGAGAAAAAGGCGGCTTTGATCCCCCAAAAGGAATCTCAATGTGTTTGTGAAGTTTTAAAAAATCATGTCCAAGAAGGACGTCTGCACATAAATTATGAAGAATGGAAAATTTGAATAGATCATAAGTGTGGTTTTTATAGCAGATGGATAGAAAACAATGTCCTTCAGTATGACTAGTAAGATTCGTACTCGCCATTGTGATTCTGTTTCGAGACTTATGGACTTTCCAGTTATACTTACGAACAACTGAGGAAGAGATGTAGCTCTCACTGCTTCCGGTATCCACTAGAGCTTGCATTGATTTCCCATTGACAGTAAGCTGCGTAACAGCATCAGTGAGACTTTGAGGTGCTGAAGCCACAACGAGAGATGAAATTATAGAGTTAACTGAAGATGGACCTTTTTTCGTAGATGGCGCAGACCTGCAAACCTTCTGAAAATGTCCTTGCTTGCCACAAGCTTTGCAAACTGCATCACGGGCGGGGCATTTGGAACGAGGATGTCTACGATTACCACAGAAAAAGCATTTGGATTCAACGGCAGCAATGGTTGTTTCATTGACGGAGGGTGTGGAATCTGATGAATGAGGTACATCATGTAAAGAAATGGACGCGCAAGGTGTAACAGGATTGTTGTATGACTGCGATTGTTGATGTGCCATCTCTAGAGCTCGTGCTTGATCGTATGCCGCTTGAAAAGTTAAAGTACGCTGTTCTAATAGCCTCTGGCGTATCATCGAAGACTGTATACCTGAGATGAATGAATCACGTAGTGATTCGTTACGATGTTCTTCGGCTGTAACTGCCCTGAATGAACAATCTGTAGTCAGCGACTTGAGTCGACGAACAAACTGATCCAGATTTTCGCCAGATTCTTGTTTACACGTTGCTAACAAGTGTCGAGCAAACACTTCGTTGCAAGGCTGCATGTAGAGACTCTTGAGAGTGTCGATAGCTTCTTCGTATGTTTTGCATTCAGAAATGCATTCGTATACAGAAGTAGAAATATGATTGAAGAGAATATGTAGTTTCGAAGGATTTTCGGATCCCATTGATTCAATGAAGTAGGAAAAAGTCGCAAACCAGTGATCCCACTTCTTGGCAGCTCCAACTGCGTTAGGTTCTACGTCGAACCGATCAGGTCGGAAAAATCGTTCCATGAATATTGTAAAATGAATAAATTGTTACGAAGGTGATTGAGTCTTAGAACGATGAGTGATGCTTGAATCTTGAAAAGACGAATGAACCAAGAATTTAGGCTTTATTCATTTTACAATGAAGCCGGAATGGCTTAAACGTATAAAGGAAAAAAGAGTGTTAATAGCGGTAGAGATATGAATATGATTAGATACGTATTATAAGAAAAGTTCACAACAGTATGCCTAGTAAGTGCTAGCCGATTTTTAAGTAAGTTCATTGAAGCAAAGGAGTTTAGGGAGATATTATACTTCATTTTTGTATTCTTTTGACGTTACGCAGATTGAGAAATAAGGTGTGCGCTGATGCGTATTATAAGAAAAGTTCACAACACTATACAAAAGTACTTACAGAGTTTTAGAAAAAGAAAATTATCGATAATCTCATGTACAACGAATTGAAGCCTAATCGCAAGCACACTCAAAAATCGACAATCGTCCCCCGAATGCTACCTACAAATGTACATATCTATTCCCGAGTAACTGCAGGAGTAGACACATTCGAAACATTTAAAATAATTAATAGACAAAACACCCCCATCTTTACTTTCCTCAGGCTATCGTAATAAAATGGCTGAAACTTGACCTATATATTTAAAAAGAATCCATCATGGGATTTCGGTTACCCCAATAACTTTCCCCTTAGTAACTATTTGTCTTCTAATTTTGTCGTTTCGTTTTCTTCTCATTTTCCGCTTGACTTTCATATTAGACTCATTTTAATTCCATATCGTCATCATTTTCTTCGATTTCGTACAAACTATATATTGATTTTCCAATCTGACGAGCCCCAATCACCGCATTTTATTATCTCTGATTACGCAATTATCACCACCCCGACAGCAAATCTGTTCATTTTTAACGGGGAATTTTGTTATGATAATATATATATATACATGACCTAGGATAAACTGGTCATCCTTATGTTTTGTTTCACGGTGGCTTTCTTACAACGATGCTCAACAAAGGACTGATTTTTGATGATAAATAAGATGCATGTTAAAAATGTATTGTAATTTGTTTTATTAAAAGTTATAAACCGTAAGCAGCTAACGAGAACTAATGCAACAATATGGACCCATGTTATTCTGTACTGATGTTTGTCCTATCTTTATTCAAACTTATACGGGGGAATACATGTATGAGGCCTTAAAAGTCAATTGTAGTTCCATTGATAACAGTACTCACCACTCTGTCTACGTATATCACTTTGTAAACTGTAATCATTAATTAGGAAACAGAAAACTAAAAGTTGCAGCTATTTCCCAACGCAATCAGGTTACAGTTACAAAGAATTCGAAAAGAAACTAACCTGTAAAAGGAAAAAGATGCATCCGGATCCAATGATATACGCTAAGTGTCTTTGGACTTCACTTCCCAAAGCGACAACACAGCCAGTTTGATAAAGTTCGGTTTCTTTATTATTAGGATCTTCATAACAACTCTGAGGATAATTCTTGGTAGCTTTGTAGAAATTAGTAGATTCCCAGTCAGACCAATTATTCACCCCACAACAATGCAACTAAAAACTAAGATAAATCTTCGTAATTTTGACAATACGTTTGACTGAATGATGTCTACAACACGATCAGGTACATCAAGTTTGTCATATATATTCAGCTGCTCTTCAAGCATCTGAGATACCTGTCTGCTAACCTACAAGAAATATTGAAACTAAAGAGTATTAACCTTTGGCCAGTAAAATATGGAGACTATAACAACGGCTAGTTCACAAAGTAAAATGAGGAGCAACAGGCTGTAGAAAAACACAAGTAAGCAGCGACTATGCTTTATACAAGCAAGTACACCAGCAGCACCTGCTAATATAAGCAGTATACCTGTGCCGAGAAGAATATAGGCAGGAAATGAAACGTTTGTTTCAACCAGTGCATGTTTGTAACGGGCAATAAACGCAAGTATGCCCCCACCAACAGAAATGAACACTATAGAGGCAATCTGAAAACGTTAGAAAATGTATGTACAACAAACTTACTGCAAGAAAAACATATGACAGAAATGCGATACACTTGGATACGACATCAATAATAGTCATTATGACACACTGAGTAACCTAAAAGTGTGAAAATCCAATTATTTCTAACTATCAAAAGAAAATTAAACACAGAACAAAATAAATCACTGAAACAACACGAACAAATAGTACTCAAGAAGTCTCGAAATCCCAAAAGCATGCACATATATGAACAGATTCACTTTACATATATGAACATATATGCATTAATGTAGCGTCTAACACAAGTCTATACATACTTGTGACATTTATCAGCACTGTTAATGACAACAAAACAGTAAGAAGTCTACCAGTAGGAGAGTTAAGCTCATCTGGATATACAACTTAAGATGGATAAAAACTCTGGATATGTTAAAACACGACACGTATTCATGAAACTTAATTGTTTTGTGGGGTTCTCGTGATATTAAAACTCAATACATAAAACCTCTTCTTGACTAATTTTCGAAAACTGGCTGTCGGTCTGAGACACAAAGACAGACGTAAATTGGCAGACTGAGGTCAACATGAGTTACTGCTTCGAGAAGTTTTGTGACAGCTCAAAGTCTTTTACAGTGGCGCGAGTGTATTTACTTCGAAATAACCAGAGGTATTTGTTACGGACGTCCAATGTCACTACTTTTACACAACTTCACTATGAATATATTGATGGAAACAGCCCTTGCCAACTTCGATATCTTAGGGATTGATTTGATAACAAGAACGTCCTATTGTTGCACAATACAATCCCAAAAGTTGGTAATTTTGCTCGAAATATTACCAAAAAACAAAAACTTATCATTGTGTTTAAACTATCGAAATATGATTATAATTTAACAGATGATATAATCCATTGTGGACGGTAAAACGGAGCCATCTGAACACCATGAGTAAGGCGTTTGCGATTTTTTTCAACTTTGTGACAATCGCTAACAAACGAAGCTATCTGGAGATCACTGGAGTCAGCCTACTTGCGGTCACAGACAAGCCACTCTATTACAAGCCTATGATGAAGGAGATCGGTGAGACAATGCTATTGCTCCTGAAAAATTCGTCTAGACTCTGTCTAGAGAGTCCGTTCACGTGTGTGCCAACGATTGAATGGATACAGGAAGGCTCGTGTGAAATTATTACATCTTCGGTTGTATCCAGCGTGAGAAATGAAAGGTTACACGGATACGATAACCCCACACACCGAAGCCCCCTGGCATTATATTTAATCCGTTACAAAAATCAGATAGAAAATGAAATAGCAGTGATTATGTGAATTGGATGACGTAATACAGTTGAGTAGAATTCAGAGTAGGTCAGGTTGGCAACAGTGTTAATGAGCGGTGGATAGAATTAAATAAGGGTGGGATTACAGAATAATACAGTTGAAAATAAGTAAATTAATCGGATGACGTAACATAGTTGCCAAGAAATTGGACGTGGGTCAAGTTAGCGAAATTGTTAATGAGGGTAGAGATTACAAAAGGGTTGGGTAGAGAATAATATAAATGAAGATGTGAAATAATAAAATGCAAAAGACAAAATAATACAACTAGTAAGACTGAAATTAAGAAAGATTACGTCCATCGTAGATTTAATGAATGAACGAATTCCTTTTGTATGCAGAGTTCAGGATTTAGCAGATGAATTTCCATTGCTTCTGCGATGTGAAGAAGTTTGATCCGTACACTTTTAGCAAGATTGCCTTGTATTCTGTAGATAACTTTGAAGTTTATTTCTGGTTTGACTTGGTGTCCGGAGTCGATCAAATGTTCAAGGATCGAACTACGGGGGCATCGGTTTTTTCCTTAATAAAACCATGAAGGTAAATGTTTGTTGACGCGTTTGGATAGCGAACGCTGAGTACGGCCGACATACCTGGCTCCACACGAGCAGGTGAATTGGTAGATGCACATAGATGAGGCCAACAGCAATAGCTTATCCTTCACATTCATACGAATCATTGGTCTCGTGGAGAACGTCAGTCGCAATTCAGCTGCAAAGAAGGTTTTCTTCAATGAGCGGGAGAGCCGATTTCTCAGTATTTCTGTAGATTGGTCTCCATTGAACTGTAGGTTCATATAGAAAAGTCTTTTTGGAGCACTGGGTGTGGGCGGCTTCTCTGGTCTGGGTTTCATTGATTTTGTGATAAATCTTTCTGGATAGCCATTTTCAAGGAGGATTTTCTTAAGAGTGTTCATTTTATCTTCTATGGCGTCCAGGCTGCAAATTCTACGTATTCTGTGGCTTAGTGAACGGATTAAGTTTCATTTAGTATATAGAGGCACCCAACTGTGGAAGTTAGTGAGCTGTCCGTTCCACGTTGGCTTTCTGTAGATGGATCTTTTTAATGTTCCGTCTTGTTGGCGTCTCGTTAGTTGAACGTCAAGAAAAGATATCTTTGAGTCAGACTCTTTCTCTAGTGTGAACTGAATCGCAGGGTGGCAGTTGTTGAAGAACTTCAGGATATCTTCTAAATTCTCTTCCTTGTTGCAGATGATGAAGGTGTCGTCGACGTATCTCTTGTAGAGTTCAAAGTTGTCAATCATATTCTTTAGGCAAGTGTTTTCGAGTTTCGACATAAAGAAATCCGCAAGCAGAGGGCCTAGTGGTGAGCCCATAGCTATACCATCCTTTTGACGATATATTTCATTGTTAAAGGAGAACTGGACGTTTAGGGTGCATCTCAGCAGAAGTTCTTTTAGATAGTCGGTGGGTATGCCGATGCTTACTCCTTCTGAGTGGATGAGCTCGCATATGTGACAAATTGTTTCAGTTAGTGGAACATTTTTAAACAATGAGACAGCATCTAGTGAAATCATCGTTTGATTAGAAACATTGACGTTTTCGACGCAGTTGACGAATTCAAATGAATCTCGCACTGAGTGACGGGAGACTTGTTTTCTGATTGGTTCAAGTAAGTCTGCTAGCCATTGGGCAGTGCGGTGGTAAGGTGAATTAGTCATGTCGAGGATCGGTCGAAGTGGAGTGCCCATCTTGTGTACTTTAGGAAGTCCGTAGAGTCTTGGTATATTTGAACCAGATGGTCTCCGGGATTCAAACGTTTCGTTGGTAATGAAGGATTAGTTCTTTAGTTTACGGAGGATGTCTGTTGGTTTTTGTTCAATCTGCTCCGTCATGTTTTTCTCGTTGACCGGTTTGGTGAATTTAGATTCATCAGATAGAATGGTCAACATTTTACTGATATAATCCTTACGGTTCATGATTACTGTTCCTCCACCTTTATCAGGACGTATCAGTATAATCTCTTCATTGTTCATCAATTCTTTCAGCTCTTTGTAGTGTTTCTTCGTTAGTACGGATCTTCCGCTTGGATTACCATTTATAAATTTGTGGCAACAGTCGAGGACATTTGATTTGAATTGTTGTAGGTTCTCATCGGACGTTGGTATCAAGTCATAGGTTTGATTTATCAGGTTTTCAAATTGAACCAGGCATTGAAGCTTGTGAACACTTCGTGGTTTTACGCAGAATTTCGGACCAAGGGATAACACCTCTAGTTGAGCTGTGGATAGTGTGATGTTTGAGAGGTTGAATACATACTTTTCTGGATTGCTTGGGAACGGACGTTCGGTGTTAACTGAAGGCTTTAGGCTCTTAAGGAGGTCAGATTTGATGTTGTCGGATTGTTTCTCTGTGACTTCTTTTACATATTCTTCGAAGGGTTGGCGTAGTTCTGCATCTAAGTCTTCGACTACATGACCACGTGAGTAGACATTTCGTTCTAGCTCAGGAATGCGTGATTGAATGGAATCGATGTTTTTTAGTGTGTGTCGTCTCAGCGTTCTGGTGTTCGGATGAATGTGGTTGCGTCTGAGTGATTTCCAGTGCATCTTTGGGTATTCATGTTGATCTGTACACTCTCTTAAGAAGTTCACCTTAGTCTTCGCTACTTCAAGTTTGACGGAGTAACGTAGGAAACCATCCAGCTCCTTCACCGTCCGTGGGTCCTTGCAACGTTTAAGTAACTTCAAAATCCGCATTCTGAACGCCTTCTTTTCTTTTATATGACTGAATGGGGATTTTGAAGTTTCTTAAACGTTGCAAGGACCCACGGACGGTGAAGGAGCTGGATGGTTTCCTACGTTACTCCGTCAAACTTGAAGTAGCGAAGACTAAGGTGAACTTCTTAAGAGAGTGTACAGATCAACATGAATACCCAAAGATGCACTGGAAATCACTCAGACGCAACCACATTCATCCGAACACCAGAACGCTGAGACGACACACACTAAAAAACATCGATTCCATTCAATCACGCATTCCTGAGCTAGAACGAAATGTCTACTCACGTGGTCATGTAGTCGAAGACTTAGATGCAGAACTACGCCAACCCTTCGAAGAATATGTAAAAGAAGTCACAGAGAAACAATCCGACAACATCAAATCTGACCTCCTTAAGAGCCTAAAGCCTTCAGTTAACACCGAACGTCCGTTCCCAAGCAATCCAGAAAAGTATGTATTCAACCTCTCAAACATCACACTATCCACAGCTCAACTAGAGGTGTTATCCCTTGGTCCGAAATTCTGCGTAAAACCACGAAGTGTTCACAAGCTTCAATGCCTGGTTCAATTTGAAAACCTGATAAATCAAACCTATGACTTGATACCAACGTCCGATGAGAACCTACAACAATTCAAATCAAATGTCCTCGACTGTTGCCACAAATTTATAAATGGTAATCCAAGCGGAAGATCCGTACTAACGAAGAAACACTACAAAGAGCTGAAAGAATTGATGAACAATGAAGAGATTATACTGATACGTCCTGATAAAGGTGGAGGAACAGTAATCATGAACCGTAAGGATTATATCAGTAAAATGTTGACCATTCTATCTGATGAATCTAAATTCACCAAACCGGTCAACGAGAAAAACATGACGGAGCAGATTGAACAAAAACCAACAGACATCCTCCGTAAACTAAAGAACTAATCCTTCATTACCAACGAAACGTTTGAATCCCGGAGACCATCTGGTTCAAATATACCAAGACTCTACGGACTTCCTAAAGTACACAAGATGGGCACTCCACTTCGACCGATCCTCGACATGACTAATTCACCTTACCACCGCACTGCCCAATGGCTAGCAGACTTACTTGAACCAATCAGAAAACAAGTCTCCCGTCACTCAGTGCGAGATTCATTTGAATTCGTCAACTGCGTCGAAAACGTCAATGTTTCTAATCAAACGATGATTTCACTAGATGCTGTCTCATTGTTTAAAAATGTTCCACTAACTGAAACAATTTGTCACATATGCGAGCTCATCCACTCAGAAGGAGTAAGCATCGGCATACCCACCGACTATCTAAAAGAACTTCTGCTGAGATGCACCCTAAACGTCCAGTTCTCCTTTAACAATGAAATATATCGTCAAAAGGATGGTATAGCTATGGGCTCACCACTAGGCCCTCTGCTTGCGGATTTCTTTATGTCGAAACTCGAAAACACTTGCCTAAAGAATATGATTGACAACTTTGAACTCTACAAGAGATACGTCGACGACACCTTCATCATCTGCAACAAGGAAGAGAATTTAGAAGATATCCTGAAGTTCTTCAACAACTGCCACCCTGCGATTCAGTTCACACTAGAGAAAGAGTCTGACTCAAAGATATCTTTTCTTGACGTTCAACTAACGAGACGCCAACAAGACGGAACATTAAAAAGATCCATCTACAGAAAGCCAACGTGGAACGGACAGCTCACTAACTTCCACAGTTGGGTGCCTCTATATACTAAATGAAACTTAATCCGTTCACTAAGCCACAGAATACGTAGAATTTGCAGCCTGGACGCCATAGAAGATAAAATGAACACTCTTAAGAAAATCCTCCTTGAAAATGGCTATCCAGAAAGATTTATCACAAAATCAATGAAACCCAGACCAGAGAAGCCGCCCACACCCAGTGCTCCAAAAAGACTTTTCTATATGAACCTACAGTTCAATGGAGACCAATCTACAGAAATACTGAGAAATCGGCTCTCCCGCTCATTGAAGAAAACCTTCTTTGCAGCTGAATTGCGACTGACGTTCTCCACGAGACCAATGATTCGTATGAATGTGAAGGATAAGCTATTGCTGTTGGCCTCATCTATGTGCATCTACCAATTCACCTGCTCGTGTGGAGCCAGGTATGTCGGCCGTACTCAGCGTTCGCTATCCAAACGCGTCAACAAACATTTACCTTCATGGTTTTATTAAGGAAAAAACCGATGCCCCCGTAGTTCGATCCTTGAACATTTGATCGACTCCGGACACCAAGTCAAACCAGAAATAAACTTCAAAGTTATCTACAGAATACAAGGCAATCTTGCTAAAAGTGTACGGATCAAACTTCTTCACATCGCAGAAGCAATGGAAATTCATCTGCTAAATCCTGAACTCTGCATACAAAAGGAATTCGTTCATTCATTAAATCTACGATGGACGTAATCTTTCTTAATTTCAGTCTTACTAGTTGTATTATTTTGTCTTTTGCATTTTATTATTTCACATCTTCATTTATATTATTCTCTACCCAACCCTTTTGTAATCTCTACCCTCATTAACAATTTCGCTAACTTGACCCACGTCCAATTTCTTGGCAACTATGTTACGTCATCCGATTAATTTACTTATTTTCAACTGTATTATTCTGTAATCCCACCCTTATTTAATTCTATCCACCGCTCATTAACACTGTTGCCAACCTGACCTACTCTGAATTCTACTCAACTGTATTACGTCATCCAATTCACATAATCACTTCTATTTTACTTTCTATCTTAACGTTTGTCTCCAAGCCAAATAATGCTTACATTACATAATCATCTAAACTTTATAAATCTAATGTACACACACAAAAATAAGAGTGAAGACGGTCAGTCAACAAGAGCCCAAATTACGCTAACAATATCAAATCTTTGCATCTTCAACTGACACTGGTGAGTTTAAACTGGCGACATGAGGAATTAAAGCCACTCCAACACAAACTGAAAGCCTTTCTTACGACCGTTAACGACAACAGGTGCTAGAGGCAGCAGCACTGATTGATAACGGATCCTAGGGAGAAAATGGAAAGTGAAGCGTTTCGCGTGAAAAATGGAACTATGATAAATTTGAAGGAGAAAGGACTAGGAAGCTCAGCAGAACATCCTGAAGAGCACTACAGCTGACACAGCTGTATTAAAAACAAAAATTCCTTGACTGAGTGACCGAATGCGCTACTGACAAGAGTAACTAGGCAGTGTATGAGTATCCGAGATGACGTGGAAAGTCTACAAGTATATGACGGTAAGTGTATTCATCAAGTCCTTCGTGTAGTATGGAGCACGGTAAGTGGTAATAAAATTATACGTAGTCTTAGGTAAGTAAGATAAGTCATTCGATCAGATTGTGGATATCCATCAACTGAAGTGATCAGGAATTTTGTTACACATTCCTAACCTCCGCCTTCTTTGTAGGGCAGTGGTAGCTGAAGTTGAACTAGTCGGGAAAAGTGTTAAGAGTTATCAGACCGAGTCGTAACATCAATCGAGATGGTTTTTAATTGTTGATCTAATCCGCATACGGTTAGTCCTGTGGGAGCTTAGAATCAATGGTTAGAGACTCATGGTAGCATGACTCAAGACCGTTCGAATGACTCTATTCAATTATTGCCAACTACATGTTCTTTTCGGAATGTAACAACTCATATTGAATTTGCTTTTGCTTTGCAAGAATGGGCAATATGTAACGTGGACAATGGACTGCAAACAACACTGAGTTTACTAAAAACAAAACTAGCTGCTACCGAGAATTTTAAGTTATCAAAAACCATTCTTCAGATGGATGGGATATTTTAATAGATACTGAGAAAATGTTTTGTAGAGAAGTAATCGAAAAGTAATCTAATATCCCGAGAATTTCCTGAGTATAGTAATAGTTAATCAAGTACTGTCCTATAGGTTCCAGGTCTAACAACTAGTCAAATAATGATGTCATCTACTTCGGGTTCCCTACGTACTAAAAATATGCAAAATTCGATTTCCAACAAACTAACCACAATAAACTGAATTGCAGGAAGAGTAGAAAAGGAAGTTTATTCTAAATCACAACTGCTACAACGGGAAAAACACCAATTTCGGGACACTGTTTATTAGTCACTAAAGATATCACTCAAATCAACTCAACGAAGCACCATTCAAAGGTATATTTCCAGTATCATGATATATGAATAGAGCTAAAAGTAGAAAAGCAATATCCATCACACCCGTTGTGTGCCACGAGCGGACTGAATTAGCTACAAAGTAGCAGAATAAAAAGTGCCCGTTTCTGTCTAGGACCAGTGAAGTTAAAGGAATAAAACCTGACAATCAAATCTAAATATTCCCCGTCAAACAAATGGATACGTCATTCGATGTAAAAACGATTTTCGAAGTATGGTAGCTCTTCTACATGCTCACTTTGCTAACAGCCATGCATCTCAAACAAATAGGTAAGATCCTGGAAAGGGCGAAGTTAAAATTTAAGTAACAGTAAGTGCCAAGAGGCAAATGACCTTGGGAGCATCAGCCATATGATAAAGGTTATTTTAGTGTATAAAATACATGTATTGGTGAAATTAACGAATTAAAAGGTATGAGCGCAACACAAGATACCCTTCTCTGATGTGTGGCGAAAACGCCCATCAGTTTTGGAACGGTGTCAACAGAGTAATTAACCACACTTTATGCATGTGCCCATCCACGTCTCCAAAGCCTTACCCTGCTCTAAAAATTTCAACCCCCTAAATTGTGGATTTTCAGGACAACAGTTGACATCATTCTGGAATCCTTAGTTGTATATCATATATCTCTGGATCAGTCAGTACGAAACGAACAATCGCCGACTGAGGTACATTTGAGACTCAAAACTAAGGAATAGCCACAGCGTGATGCAATCAGGATTACATAAGTAATTTAATACGTCACCCCGAGTGGAATTAATGTCTACCTTCTGGCTCCACATTTTGGAAAAGCATTGAACGAAGACTTCATTTCATTACAACGCCAAGTCAAGTAGGACATAAGAAATTACATATTGGTAATTACAATCCATACACCAGCAACACTCAGTCAAGTCGAATTTGGTTGTTCTTAGAAATACTCCTAAATACATTGGCGTGGCGATGTTCCCTAAGCTGGATAGCTGGAGTATGCTCCGAAGATGTCTAGAAAGACAATGAAAGCTTAGCAAATAGACCATCCACCTCAGAGAACACAACTGAACTACGCATCACCATATCTAACTCCAGAGTACATATCATTTAGCTATAGATAAGAAACAATGACAAATCAGCAGATGATAATAAGCAGTGACATACATATGTGAGAATCAACACGAAATTTCATCAAAGATAGTCACCACGAAGAATGGTGCGTCCCAAGGTCCTTATTAAGTGAGCACGTTATTGATTTCGATGAATATTCATCCAACTTATTCATGGATTCAAAACTACATGAAGAACATCCTGGAAAATATTAAACATTTAGAAGCATTTCCCCAGCTAGCATTTTTTCGGGCGCACCACCGAACGTCTGATAAGGCCCCTGAGCGAACCCCGAATATTAACGTCCTGTGATGTGCCCCAAGTCATTGCTAGCTATGATCACAGCTTGTAAATTTGTCCACGTTTGAGTTTCCATAAAAAACACTAGAAACCATTAAATACTCATAGAATACTGTTTTTCAAGAGAAAAGCATTTGAAGTGTCAAAATTTGTCAGTCTAACCCAGCTAGCATTTTCTTCGGGCACATTGCAGCTGCTTATTAGCAGCTGTTTTAACTACAGATTAATTAACTGGCAGCAAAGTATATGTATATATGATATATATGCACGTAAGCCATAATACATATGTTCCGACGGAATTTTTTAACATATATGACAGGAGTAAGCAACAGACAACAAAACAAATGACCTTCAGTCGGATCGCTTAGCATCACGAATTAACGCTGTTCATAATAATCTTTGCAATTTTCACCTAGATTTGGTTTTTGATTTCTCTGTGAAAAACAGGTTGATAAGGAAGACTTGGTGTTTACCCACTGCTCACTCACCAATTAACACAACCAAACCGTTTATGTCTGAGGCAGCATTCGCGCCGAAAGTGTGTGGCGCGCACTCCAATATCCAATATCCTGATTACGAGGCAGCCTGTCGACGGACGTAATTTTGAGTGACCGCGAATGAGATAAACAAGCGATTCGCTCGCTTGTGATTGGCCAGTTTGTCATTCGAGTTGAGGTAATTTCAAACATCATTTTGCTGCTTGGGTAAGTCCTGAATTTCCGTGAGCGTTTTATCTAACTGGAGAGATAACTGACAACACAAATGATTACAGCTCAGGAAAGAAATGATATAGCAGTGGATTTATTTGCTGAATTCAACGAATTCATGCCAAATTACTATCTAAGGACTTCTCAGGAGTATCAGGAATGCAAACAATGTCCTGAAGAGGTAATAACTTCACGCAACTTCAATTATCGCTTGAACATTATTTTCAGAGATCCTTAAATAAGTATAATATAGACAGTGGTCTGGCTAATCATGATAAAAATGGCATGGTTGATGCAGCATTTACGTATACTCATGTATATGTAGGTAAACCTAGTTGAACTGTGTTCTTGTCACGAAGATCGGAAAGCAGGTACCAGATGTCTTAGTAAGCAGTGTAATACATGTAAGTTACATGTTTTTATTTGACATAAACTGGATCTCCACTCACTTTCAGAATTAATCTTAAATTCAGTTGGAATAAGCTTGTTGAGCACATCAGTATTGAGAGAATACAGTGAAAGTAAGTAAACACATGCTTCTTAAGATTAAGTGATACATTTATTTGATATGATTGTATTATTGTTAGTTGTCTATCTAAGTTAATGATGAATTCGTTGCGATAATAATACCTATTATTGTTTTTATAGTCACTATGAACATGAACGTTATTATTATTGCTGTCAAGACCTATTATTTGTCATAAAGTGGTTGTCATTTTTGCTAAAATATTTGTACAAGCTTTGGAAACTACTGCATAACTTTTCGTTAAATAATTTTATCATTTCATGATGCTTCGATGGACCTACTAGATATCGACAAACGATAAGTTGCGAAGTCCCTTAAGTTTAGTGAAAACTATTGGGCTACTTATATATATATATATTGTTTGTAAAGTGATTACTTGTAAATGCTTATCAGGAAAATTTTTTTATTCAGATCATACATGTAATACCCAAGTTAATTATGCTTTTCTTAAACCTTTTCAGACTTATGGAAAAACATATATGTGCCGTGTACGCAGATGGAACTTACTGACGGTAACAGAGGACTACTCATCTGAATTATCTGTACATTTGAAATCTGATTTTTGTTTAATAAACAATTTTTCAATGAATCTGTCTTCCTTCTGTTGTAATGCGATTGTGTTCCAGTAACATAAGTAGCACGTGCTAAGTTAGAAGTTGAGGGTAAACTGTTAGGAGTAAATACGGCGTCTGGAAAACTTTTGTTTACGTGATTATATGAGCAGATAGCAACGTATCGTGTTCTTTGGCTGAGGACTCTAGGCATTCTGTTTTTAATTATTACGATAACCGTAGTTGCACTGAGTCATGCATCTAACAGCATAGGTATAGTCTCTCCTTATGGTACACTGCGGCATGCAGAAATCACAAGCGAACTATCTCAGGTAGATTTACTCTCACTTTGTGACTATGAATCGCGAATCAGTATATGTATTCTGCTAAGACGACAGATAACTCGAAACGCTTTATAATCACAATACCTCCTCTACGATTTAGACATATTTACTTTATTTGACTACAACATAATGTTTTACCAATAGGCTTCTCCGAATATCTGCTCCTACTTAGTATTTCAAAGATAGCCTCATATACTCTATACCTCACAAATTACGCAAGGACTAATATTCGGTCTTATCAAGTAGAATAAACAAACGAATAACAAGGAATACATTTATTAATGAATTAACATGTAATACAAAATCGACAACAGTGCAGGTATCTTTTTCTTTATCACCCAAATCCATCAAATTCCCGAAAGTAGATATTATCTGAAAAAGAACATAAGAATTATACAGATGTAGATATTGTTACCAGTTTAAACACAATAATTAACCATTAAATATGCTTAAAATGACAAAATAATGATTTAAACTGTATATAATTATGTTAGTCAACATTTTTCAATAATGCAAAGTTGATATTCCATCTGCCTGCTAACATCAAGTTTATGCCATCAAATAAGGAAATACTATGCATACCTAATTTTTAAGTATTTCTGCAGATTTTTCTTAAAGAAATACATGTGGAGGAGCCTTGTCAGCATTTAGGCAAAGTACACAACAAAGTAAGTGAAATAATTACCAAAACGAGCTATCCCACCTCATCATGTCCATGTGTAATCCATTAAACTGAAGAATAAATTCACAAAAAGTCGTTATAACATGTGTCTTCAAGTAAGTAGACATTTTCTGAACGGAAAACTACGTTATTTTCAACAAACTGTAAACTGCCTGTGACCTACGTCCGGATAAGAACACCACCATATGCTCTTTCTGCTAAATAGGCCGCATTTCATCAACTTTTAGCAGGAATACAGGTAAAAAAGTGTGAAAAACAACGAAAAATGACCTAACCTTGACATTTTTTCAATAAATAACGCCAATATCCATCAGCTGATCAAATGACCTACGTCCGTCTACAGGCTGCCTGATTACGAGCTAGTATAAACCAGTGATTTCTTTGAGCTCGCTTCTTGATTGTGAGGTAGAGGTTCCAGATCTTCGGTGAGCTTCTGCGTAGTAAGTCCCGCCACTCGACTGCTTTAGCTCTGGTAGACTCCAGGAGGAGTGGTGCGGGGATTGGTCGAGATGTGGTTTGTAGTATGCAGTATGTTAGGACTGTATTGCTGCCGTGAATGGAGTTTGACCTAACTCCCGTTGGTCATTCGGTGTAGTCATAAAAGCAGAATAATAATAGGTTGTAGTGTAGATAATATAGGTTGAGATAAGTGGAATAATAAAGGTGACCTAAGGAAAAGATAGAGTGAGAGAAGGCAGAATAGGTCGTGGGGATTTAGTTTGTACGCTTATCCATTGACAGTGTGGTTTTAAGTTTTATGAGGATAAGCCATTGAGACACAAACCTTGCATTTCTGCATGATTGTCTAGCTTCCGCTTAAAAATCTCCAGAGATGGCGCTGTAGTCACGGCCGCCGGTAAAGCGTTCCAGAGACGGCAAACACGAAGCGAAAAGAAATGTGATCGCACTCGAGTCTTTGGTCTCTGGTGTGCTATCCTTAGCGGGTTACCTCGTGGAAGCCTATAATCACTTAATGGCAGGATGCTTTTATTTGGGTGGGCCTGGTCATTTAGGATCTGGTAGACGGTGATGAGGTCTCCCCTGTGCCTACGGTAACTAAGTGTGAAAAGACCTAATTTCTTTAGTCTTTCCTCATATGATTTGTTGCGGAGGCCGATCACCCATTTTGTCGCTCGTCTCTGGACACTTTCTAGAATGTTAGCATCCCTTTTGAGTAGCGGAGGTGCAATGATATTATGCACCTCAAGGTGTGGCCTCACATATGCCTTGTATAACCTTAAGAACAGTTCGGGAGTGAGAGCTCCCAGCTGCCTATGCATAAAGTGTAAAGTTGCGTAGGCTTTGGCGACGTCCCTCGAGTAATTTCCACTGGTGTCTAGCTTTTCTGTTAGAATAAGACCTAGATCACGCTCTGATGGAACACAACTCAAGTTCTGGCCACCAAGGGTGTAATTTACACTCTGTGACCTGCCGGAATGAAGTTGCACTACTTTGCACTTCTTTAGGTTGAAAGGCATTCCGTTAGCCAGAGCCCAGTTTCCCAGAGTTTGCAGGTCAGCCTGCAATCTATCTGAGTCTTCCGATGAGTTTATTGCTCTCCAAATCTTTACGTCGTCAGCGTAAAGAAGCGCAGAGCAGTTTAGTTGGGAGGGCAGGTCGTTGATAAAAATCAAAAACATCAACGGCCCTAGGATAGAACCCTGAGGAACCCCTGATGCCGAGGTGTGCCAGGATGATCGGATGCGGTTGACTTTGGTGCAGAATTCTCTCTCGCCTAAGTAATCTGTCAGCCATGCGAGAAGTGCTCCAGAAACACCCGCCTTGCTTATTTTGTGAAGGAGCAGACCATGGTGAACTGTGTCGAATGCTTTCGCAAAGTCGAGAAAGATCACGTGGGCTGGTACCTTTTTGTCCCAGGATAGTGTCCAATCGTTCCAAGCTAGTAGAAGATTCGTCACGCAGGATCTTCCCCTCCTGAAACCGTGCTGTGCTTCGTGAAGAAGGTTAGTCCCATCGAAGTATTTTCTCATGTGGTCGTCAATGAGACTTTCCAATATCTTCGATACACTGGAAGTAGAGCAACTGGTCTGTAACTGGTCGCATTCTGCCGGTCACCACCCTTGAAGATAGGGGATAGGATTGCTCGTTTCCATTCACATGGAAGTTTCCCTACATCAAGGGAGTGTTGGAACAGATCACTTAGGGGTTGGCAGAGACTTTCTGAACACTGCTTCAGGACAGATGGTCTGATGTCATCACAACCTGAAGACTTTCCCGAAGCCAACCTTCCCAATTTTGCAAGTACCATAGCCGGGGTAATTTGAAATGTACCCAGCAGGTTTTCGCGTGTTGGTTTTGCGATGTAATCTGGATGTTCTGTGGGGTAATATCCTCGTTACTGTTTAGTTGCCTGTGAAAGGCTAGGCTGAATGTCTCTGCCATTTCAAGACTAGTAAGAGATTTCCCATCAGAACCCACTAGATTGCATGCTCCCTGGTTGGTCGGTTTTCTTTCGGACATAAACCTGTATAGGCTTTTGGGGTTCACGAGAAGCTTATTGGCGAGGTTTCCCTGAAATGTCCTTCTATCGCTCCGGACTCGTATGTTACATCGATTCCTGAGTTCAAGGTACACTTCATGTTCGGGTTGACTCTTCGATCGTCGCCACGCAAACCAGGCTTTTCGCTTCGCCTGCAGAAGGCGTTGTGTCCCCTTTTCAGCCATGATCGTTGCTTCCT